TATCCTGGGCTCCTCGCTCCCGCCCTCTGTTCCCTCAGCCCTGCTGTGGGCTGTTTTTCCTGGCACGGCGGCCCTGGCAGGGCCTGGGAGCAAGCAGCCCGCGGGGCTGGTGTCAGGGCCGCTTCCTGCGCCGGCTGGCAGGGCTCATGCCCACCCTGGCGCAGCCCTCCTCAGAGCATCTCCCTCCTCCCGTGCCCACTCCGCTTGGAGAAACCCGAAGCACGCGGTGGGGACTGCAGGGAACGAGCCCTTCGCAGGGGTTTTCCGAGAGCGCCTTGGCGAGGCTGTGCGTGACGTGCACTCGTTTGCCTGAGCGCCGACGAGCTGCGCACGGTCGAGGAGCGACGGAAAGTTTTGACACGCGCGGCCTGAAGGTTTCTGAACGTGCTTGCTTTTGAATTCCTCTCGTCTCCCTGTGCTCAGCCACTCCATGGCCTCCTGCAGAAATTACCAGGCTGTGGACAAAAGAGAGCTGCGTGTGTTTGTGCTTCCAAGCAACTGCCCCCTTCGTGCCAGTTAGTATTTACAGGGAGAGGGAAAGGAGGGAGAATCACTGTCATTTGAGAAATGCCTCTCAGAAACGGCAGCGATTTATTCCCAGGCATTATTCTTCATTAAGAGCTATGGACAGCTGCAGCCTCCCTGTAAATAGAAATTGCGCTCTGTGGGTGTGCTATACATAGGGCTTCAGGTTTCTGACATGTCCCTGCCAAAAATCAGAAGTATTTCTCACCAAATAAATGTTTATTCAGAAAGTCTTATTTCCTGGCTTTTGTTTCACATCACATGCACCCAACGGAGAGACAGGAATGGCCCAAGGCTGACATTCAGGAGAGGAGATGGAGACGGTTTGGATCCCTTTCAAGCAGATAACAGCAGGCCTGAAGTTTGGCAGTTTATTTAATGGATAAATATGGGATTAAAAGGAATGCTGCAGTAGCACTGTACAGTACGAAGCCGGTCATGGTGCGCATTCCTGTGCTCGAGGTCGGCTCCCTCCCTCCTGCATCGCCGAAGCCACAGGCCCCTGGCCGCATGTGACACAGACCTATCTTGTCGCACAGCGCTCCGGCCCAATGCGATCCACGTTGTTTCCCTGCCGTGCAGAGGAGCGGGAATGGGCATCTGCAGCGTGGGTGACAATTTGTCGCGTTCCTGCTCACTGCCTCCTGGACTCGCCACCCCCCAACCCATCAAAGGCCTCCTCTTTTTCCTCCTTGAGAGTTGAGCCTTTTCGACCCCTTTCCGACCCCTTTACTGACTCTGTGCTCTCCGTGCAGTGTGCCAGCCCCTGCCGCTCCAGCAGACAACTTTGCAGCTGCAGCAGCCCCACTTGGTTGCATTTTGTATCCTGTGGACGTACTGTCCTGTCAAATACAAGACATCCTCGTGCTAATCCTTCCCTTCTTCCTTCTACTCTCTCCCTGCCTCAGCCATCCCAGAGTTCGTGGCTTGCAGCCTGCAATCCATGTATTAAAATAAATGACCTAACTAAAAATTATTACTCGCTCTTGCTTTCTTCTCGGCCTATATAGCTTCCAGAGAACTGAGAAGCTGTAATTTCTCCAGGGCTAAAATCCAAGCCTTTGATAGGCAGGCATGGTGCCTGGGGCCACTACATGTTGCTACCAGTTGTCAGCTTTGTAAAACTTATCCTGCCGAGCAAGGAAATCCGAGCACAAAGATCGTTCTCTTTTCTTACTGTGGCAAGCCATAGTTTGCCAGTCTGCTGTGCCTTTTCTTCATTGTCTTCCAAGCAAATGGCTCTAAGATTATGACTCCCATGTTTGGACTGAGAACAGCTTTTGCCTGAGCAAACAGATTTCTCTTTGGCAGGCACTTTAACTGCTGTCCCAGCTTTTTGCTGTCAGCTTTGTTCCATGATTTGCTGTTAGAAGGCCAGGCTGCACTCACGCGTTGGAGCGAGCGAGGGAAGGAAGGAAGGCAGGTGAATGCATTTGCTAAGGGCTGTGATGGCAGGATGGTTGCAGTGTGATCCACAAGGGAAAAACATCTCCCGGAATTCAGTAGTGTAGTCTGTGGTTGCTCTTATTTTTAATGTGGTGCTTTTGGTTGGAGAGACTTCAAGTCCTTGCACACGGTACTGCTCTCTCCAAAAGACTTTCTGTGTAAATCAAGAGGAAATCAAAGCCAGCCTTTGCAGATCAGAGCACGGTGTGGAAGCTGCTCTAGTATTTGCAAGGTGTGTCTGGCATGGAGCTAATTAAAATGTGCATGTCCCATGGCTGCTTAAATATTACTTTTGCTGCTGTTCTGCCTCTACTCCCATTTATTGATTCTCTGTCATG